TTAAGTCAATCTTCAAAACTGCATCGTATTTATTTATAAAAAAAATCTAAAAGAATACAATTAACTAGAATTAGATTTTTTTTGTCAAAGCGATGCACAAAATAGCCTTTAGCTTCAACACATAAACTCTATAAAAAATTTAAAATATGTCGATAATTATTTATGCAAGAAATAGAAAAATTGCAAAAGTATAAATAGAACATTCTTTATCTACAAGCAATTAATTTATGATAGCTATAACTATTATGCATCATGTAAGTCAACATTGAAAAAAGATCAACAGAAAAAAAAAAAAAATCAAATAAAGCAATAAAATTATTTTTTCACATTTATTTTAAAATCCGAACACCAGCGTGAGTAATTCACCCTGTAATCTATGTACCGTTTCAAATTTACTAGAAATTTTGACAGCCTTATAAATTTTTAGCACCCCTGATATGCGGAACTCTATATGCGAAAACGATGCAGTTTACACGCACGGCTCTGATTTGTCGATTTGATGGCTTCAGTTTCGATATGTAATAAAAATATATTAACGATCATATCGTTTTGTGACGATCGCAAATAAAAATGACGACAAATCCCTTGAAAATCGTAAATTAGATCATGGACGAAAATATGTCGAGGATAGCACTTTAGATTTGTGTTGTTTGCATTATTCAACAGAGTCAAAAAGCTCAATAAATAATATTTTGGAGACCAGAAAATGCTAGTTGTAGGCTAAAATTAAAATATCGATGGTTGCCCAACTAGAAAAAAATTAGTATGTGATACTGTTCTACTACTTCTTCTATGAAATTGAATTGGTTCTTTCGCGATTATCATGTGAGAGTATGTTTTTTCCAATTTAGTTTTTACTGCTGAATACAAATCTAAATTCTAAATTAAAGTCAAATGGAGAGTCAAAAAATTGAATTACAAAATCGCCGATCTAGTAATTGCTCTGCATAAGAATTAAAATTTTGTAATTTTTATAGTTACCTTTTATTTTAAACGACTATTGGGTTTCAATTAAATGATCAATTAAGTTATTATTTGTAGATCGAAGAGGTTTTTAATTTAATTTTTAAGCAATTTTTTGTCATTTGACCCAAATTTTGACTTTAGATTCGTCTTCAGCGGTAAAAAATTTATTAGAAAACATATGCCACACACATCAAATACATACAACTTATTTTATTTTGTGGGCCTATGTTATCAATGCAAAGTAGATTATTATAAGTGTCAAATATTAGCAGATCTATAAGCTCAAATATGAAATTGGGGTTCTATAAGCTGTTGTCATTAATTACTTACTAACTGCGTAGCTTTTATTATAGATGGCAATCCAAACAGTTGCCCAATCACCATGTGATAAATTTGCTTATTACTATATCTGTAATAATAGTGATGACTTATTATTATGTAGCAATGCCGAGTGAAATTTATTTTCACTTAGAAAGATATTGCTATCTATATTATCCGATGTCGCTACTGCTTGACATCAGGCTGCTCAAAGCGGTATCGAACCCTCTAATTGTTCTGACGGCTTACCCGCAAACAATCTCATGTATAATACATAATAAATTTCTGAAGTTTTTGCAATATGTAGAGGGATTGTAATTGTATCTAGAGAAATAATAAAATTATCAGTGTACCGATTTTAAATTATACTTTAGAAAGTCATAAAAACTACAATTGAAAGAAAAATGATATCTTCTAGCTCCTAAAGTATTAGGCGGTTTTGATTTCATTTGGAATTTTTAATACATTTATTTTGATTAACAATCATAAACTGCTTCACTAATGCTAATCATAAACTGACTCATCGATTTCATCTTCAAATATTAAATATTAGCTAATATATGAGCCGGTACCAAAACCCAAATCATTTTTTTTATTTTTTCTTCTGTATCTCCGGAATCGCTGGACCTGCCTTTACCAAAAATTTTACGAATTCTTCATTTCATCAATACAAGTGAAATGTTTTTTGAATCATTTTAATCGAGTACTCCGTTCTCTCAAAAACTAAATTACCGTTTTTGGCACATTTTGCCCCGTATATTTAAAACGGCTGGACCTGTCTTCACCAAAAATTAATCAGTAAGTCTTCTCATCAATAGGAATCGAATGTTTTTTGAATCATTCAAATCCGTTGATTCGTGCGCCCAAAATCGTGGACGAAATTGTATCCAAACATACACACACATCCATTTATTCTAAGGTATGCCAAAACGTTCAGAAACCTTTGAAACGTAAAGATATGCAAAAATTTTCATTTTCGATTTTTTGCGATTACTATAACTTACTCTACGGGAAGTTAATAGAGAAGAGAATGGAGCTTTTGGATAACAGAAAATGT